AGAAAAAGCCAGCGATATATTTTAATTTGCCCAGGGATCGTCGCTCTCATGATCAACTAATGTGATTACATCCCTGTACTGTGTCACTGCAGTGTGCTGCTCTCCCTGCCTTTGCTTTTGAAGGATGGCTGTTGTTTTCTTCTCATTATACGGCTCCTGAAATGTACCCAGGAGGGTGAGTGAGAGGTATGGAGGTTGTGTGGGTGGGGGGTGGTTAGTGGTTGAAATAACGACCCCTCGGTGCTGCGAAAGCTTCTATTCTGTCTGTCCAGGACTCGTGGAGCCAGCCTGGGCCTTTCCCTTTTGTCAACAGTGAAAAATGAAGCATTTCTGAATCCCCAGCACTCGCTGTGTTTCCCTCTAGGCGCCTCAGATACATTGAGTTAACATAAAGCAAAATTCAGGACAGGGGCGGCCCGGGTGACAAATGAAGCGTCTCCGTGTGTTTTGGAGGGAAAATAAAGGGGCCCCTTTTGTAGAAATGAGATTTGGTTCTCGTTACTTCCTTCAGGCCCAATTTTTTCCCCACAGTCCAAATGTATCTGAGAGGTACAATGGAAGATGGAATATTCCTCAAATGGAAAAAAGAGAATAATCTGAGTATAGATCATTTTCCTTCAACTCGCTCTGAGTCTGTAGTCCATTGCTGCTTCATTCCTATTTTGTCACATTACGGCTTATTTTCACACTGCGCTGCCAGCCAGGCTAAGAAAAGTCGCCAGTTGGTCTGATCATGACACCCAGCCCATTGCAGCTTCTTAAAAATGGATCCAATTTGGGTTTTGGAGAGAAAGCTCGCTGGGGTACAAATGAGGCACCTCGGCTCGCCTGTTCACGAGCAGTGCTCTCATCCGACTTGGACTCATTTGTAGTCTGCAGGAGAGGAGAGGAATGGATGGTCCGGGTAGCTCTTGGCTACATTTCGGAGAGGCCGCAGTGCCGCGGTGTTGGGAGGTCCAAAGACTTGTTCGCTAATTAGAGGGAGTGCGGCGCCTGTGATGTAGTCACGCTCGCTGGCCGCGTGGCAAGTCACTCCGGGGAACCAGACGGGTGCCTGTGTTGCTGCGGGGTTTTCTGATTCCCTCCCAACGAAAATCATGTCGAGCGCTTTCATGTTTGTTTGTGTTTGGGTATATCAGGCTTTTAACTCTGATTCTGTATCAGGAATTAAATGTGTGTGTGTCTGTAGGTGTTTCTGTGTGTGTGAGCCTGTCAATTAGGCTTTCCTGCAGATGCAAGTCAAATAGGTTTTGCCTCACCAATTACCAAAGGCACTTTAGGCAACGGAGTCTTTACTTGTTTCACTGAGTCTGGTCCCAAAGTTGCCTGCTGTTTACTGTCTCCGCCTGTGTTTCATTTGAACTTAATTAATCCTTTAAAACGTTTTGGGGAAATCAATGCATTGGCACCACTACAACTTTCATTTAAAGTAAGTGACAATAGTCGCAGTTAGAAAGAAATGGCTCTAACAAAAGGAGTGACAGCATCAGATTGAAACAAATAAAACTGATTTAATCTGTAAAATGAAAGAAAGTTAAAGCTGCAATAATGTATTATTTACTGCAAAACAAACTTCTAAACAAACCCCTTTTCCTCCCTATCTCTCCCAAAATGAAACTTTGCAGATTGGGAAGTGATATCTGGCCAGCGGCATGACGTCAGCTTAAAACGGTCTTCAGCTCTTTCAAGAATCATTGGAGATTGTGGTTCTTTGTCTGGTGGGGTACATATATTGGTGCAATGTGATCTGACAAAAGTTTGGCTAGTCTCGTTTTTATGGTATACTGCTTTGTAATATTAGTCTGAAATCCCTCTGACTGTACTCTAGAGGCCAGAGGAAAGGGGCCATACTCTGTCAGAATTGCTATCAGACAGTTATAAAATAGCTCTGGAAACACCCTCCCCCTCACACCTTTCTGACGTCACATTAGGGCGCCAGTATCCATCCAACTTTCAAAAACCAACGATCCGACAGTCACACTCCGTTCCCACTGTGATTGGCCACCTGTGCAAAGTTGAGAAAAACAGCCAGTGTTTGAACTTCTCTCTCCAACTCTCTTTTCACATTTCATTTGAACAACCAAGTGCAACACAAGCTCCGACCTCACTTTTTCTAAAATCCTGGCTACAGCTCTGGACATAACTAATGGTAGAGCAGCCATCACACAAGTAGTCTGTGTGCCAGTGTAGACTCATTTTCTTGTAACTTTGGGCAGTGTAAGGCTTATAATTGGTTTTACCAAAAGAAAGTGAGGTGAAGGAGAATCCTGTGGCTGCAGCCTTTAAAGACTGTGAGGAGTTGTGTTAATGCAAGTAAAAGTCAATTAATTAATGCAGCTTCCAAAAGCAAATCAGGGGTTAATGACATATAACTGCTGCGCTGCTCTCTGTGGGTGAACTATTTCAGCACTTCTGACCACTCCCCATTTAGTGATGCAAAAACACCTGATGATCTGAAGGGACAACAGTAACACGAAGCAACCGACGTCTCCATCAGACACGTGTAACACTGAACCAGAAGTCTATTCATATGCTCTTCAGTGAACAGAAGAAGAGGCGACGCTGACAAACCAATTCAGCCACTTCAGCTTTTATTTCTCGCTGAAGAGAGCCGAGCCTGGAGTTGCTACCTGCTGACAGCATTATTAAGACATGTCAGCCCACTTGGCTATCGAAGACAAGGTGTTCATATGTCTCTGTCTGGGGCCTGGATGCAAACCAGTCAGCCACTTCTCTACTAGAAACACTTCACAGTGGTTTTATTACACTATGTAACCTAGTCTATCTTCCTACTTGAATACCTACCATCATATAATGCACTTCAAGGTACCGCACACTTAATATGTGTACCATATGTATATACTTATTTTTAGCTATTAGAGATGTAAGTGCTAACAGAGTATTTAATATTCACATATAGGTGAATGATGTGGTTTTGTACATTGTAAAGAGCTACTCATTTAGTGTTTAAGCTCAAGGTTTGTGGTTACACAAGACTTGACAACACTGGCGAAATATGCTCTGACAGATTGAAAGACTGATTATAAAAGCTGTGGGTGAATTTGGAGGACTGTGGCTCGCTATTTGCATATCCTTCATCTGCCTGGTGTGTCAACAAAGGAGACTCGCTCTCTGTCTCCACACCGGTGTATTCAGATGCAAAGTAAAGTGAATGCAATTATGTATCCTTTCTTTTTTTTCCCATAACATTTTGTTCTGGCTTTAATATGTGCTCTGTCGTGTATTTCAATTGTAGCCCTCCATTTGTTTCACTTTAAGGCGATGAAAAAAAAGCGCTCTGTGCAGGGTTTAATTCTATTTGTGTGGAAATTTGATGTAATATTTGCCTGGCGGCAGGTCAGGGGAAAAATTCATATTTCATAAAGTGAAGATATGCTACAGTAATAGCTCATTTGGTTCTGGAACGGCAGAATTTATTGTCAAGCCCTGTGGAGGTGTTGTTGGCCTAATTCAGCAAACGTTCGTGTCATGATAACCCCAGTGACATCACCAGCTTCACCAACTGTATGCTAAAATTCACATTTCAGTGTAGGCTTGGCACTGAACTTAAAGGATGGCTGTAGTGAGGTGAGTTTAGCAGTATCTGAGGGGAAAGAAACAGAAGAAACATTCACCAGCTGTACAATATGATTATGACCCCCTACCTGCTCACCACTTTACAAGCTGGAGTGTCATGTCTAAAATAGGAAATGTGATTGATAACATGGATTGTTTTTGTCTGAGAAGTGCTCACATGATAACCCCAACTACTTTTACAACCATTACAGTTCAAATTCCAATGTGTGGCGAGTCTAAAAAGTCTAAATCAAACCATTATGGTTTGTCTTCTCGACACATAAAGTCATAAATCCAGAATCCAAGCATGTATTACACACCCCTGTCCACCAGGGCAGTGTCATGTTTTGCCTCACCTAAACATGGAAATGTCACATTTTCAACATGTGCTCATTCCGTTAGTAATGTTAGCAATAATAAATGTGGATTTATACTTTATACTTTCAAAATAAAGCTTACTGAAGTTGCAGTTTGGTTAGGTTTAGGCACCAAAATGACTTGGTCAGGGTTAGGAAAAGATCACAAGTTTCTGCTTTCACACTGGACTCACACAGAAGCTGTAGTTGACACTCACACCGTACGCTCTGGTGGATCTTACTACCCACAATCAGAAGGATCAAGGCACACCAGGGTTCTTCAGACTTCCATAACTTCAAACTGTTTACCTCTTGGGGCCTGTTACCTGTACAGAATGTAAAGAAAGTAATGCAGTGAAGAATCTAATTCTTAATTTTTGTTTGTGTTCTCTGAATTGAGTAGTACATAAAACACATGAAAGGAAGGACATTAAAAAGACACATTAATGATAATGTGCTCTAATATGAACAATGTCAAAATATTTGTGTTATGTGTCTTAATCCAGTGACAGTAGAAACTTTAGCTTTAGGATGTATCTGTAAGTTTCACTGGTCAAACCAAATTGCATTTCCGAGGTGTTTGGATCAATGAGGTTCTGGTTCTGCTGTATATACACTGTGTGTGTTTAAAGCTCAGGAGAGAGGAGGACGCATTGATTTTCTGTGAATCAGTCGAGTGCAGAGATTAAAAGCTGGTTTGGCGGAATTTCGTACCATTGATTAATAGTAGTACACACAGGGATGCATACTGCACATTATTGTGGACACCAGAGATAAATCAAATTTTAAGGTTTAACCACTTTAAACTGTACGGAGAGTAAGAGTACTGTAATGTAGATTGCTGTTTTATTCTGTTATTATTGTCTGTCTATTTTAGCCTGTGTAGATGATTGTTTAGCTGATTTAGAAAGCAGTGCTGAGGTTTCATGTGGGGCTGTTTGTTTCTACACACACAGGCGTGAACAATATTCCATTATGATTTCCTGTAAAACCGTAACAAAAATCTGCATTTGACATTTTTCAGTTTATTAATAATGTTTTTTCCTCTCTGTTCTTTCCTTACTGTAGTTCAGCAGAAAGCAGCTCTGGAGAAGGAAGCCAAGCTCAGCATCCTGGAGGCTGGAGTCGCCGATGTGAGTACATCAGTTTACACTCTTCACTTTCACTTTCAAGTTAAATCAAACATTTAGATGATGAGCAACAAATTATGATATGAGTCTTCAACCCAGTCAGAATCATCCTACACTAAAGGGCCAAACGTATGTGGACAACTCACTATTAATACTCTTTTGGAGTCTGGCTACAGGGATTTGCTCCCATTCAACCACAGGAACATTAGTTAGGTCCAACACGGGTGTTGGTTGATGAGTTTTGGCTTGCAGTTTGCATTCCAGGTGCAGGATAGGGTTTAGATCAGGGTTCTGTGCAGGCCAGGCAGCCTCTTTATGATTCTGGCTTTGTGCACGGAAGGCATTGTCATGTTGAAACAGCAAAGGGCCTCTGTTGAAAGCACACTATCGTTGAAAGTATGTTTTTGTGCTGTAGCATTTCCTGTCTAAGGAGGTTTTGAGTTTCTGAAGAAGTAAATTGCATTCAGCGTCCCTTACTTTCATTCTCTTTTACCACTCACTGTATTGCATACATGCTTTATAATTGTGCTTATGTTAATCAATGAATAACAAAGTAACAAAACAACAAAGCTAAATCTCTTAAGAAAAATATTGTAACAACATTTCTGATGTTTGGCATGTACTCCATCCCTGCTACCTCTGTCTTTCAATCTCAGCCTCTCTTCCTCTTGGTTTTCATCTCGTAGCATTGCTATTCTCCTCCATCTCTGCGGGAAATAGACTGCTGAGCTTCTGCTCTCGCCTATTGATTCAAGAGTTAGTCTGCACCGATGACGGCACGCCATTCACCATGCTTATCAAAGTGGCAGCAGCGAGGTCTGAGAGAGAGAGAAAGAGGCCGTTAGAAAACGGGGGAGGAGGAAAATAAGGAGAATGAGGGAGGGAGAAGTTGTGAGGGTGGAGGAGGAAGGGTGCAATGGAGGGTCTATCGAGGTGATCAATACCTAGCTGCAAACAGGAGCCAATTATGGCCAATCGAACCTCTGTTGTAAGAATGAGAGAGGGAGAGAAGCAGAGTAAATCCCTCCATCACAGGCTGGCAGATAGAGAAATAGCAAAAACAAGTCTGCAAGTTACAACCTGCAACAAAACATCCATCATCACCCCATACGGTGTTTATTATAGTTTTATCATACACTGTAAAATAACAATATTAGCATACTACATCACAGCTGACAGGTTAAAAATACAAAAAAAAGAAAAGTTAGTTTCTCAAGAGTGCAGAGGAGACGAATTGTTTGCTGGCGGACTCTGTGAGGAACAGGCCTGCAGGTTCGAGTGTTGGGTTTATTTTGCAGGCGGAGAAATGAATTCTCATTTTCTCATTGATGCCTGTGTATATTTGAAACGAAGATAACATGAAAGTTTATTGATCCCTGTGGGGAAATTAAGTTGTTGCTGCAGCAAAGGTAATGGGGAAAAAATTGCATGCAATAAAACCAATAAAGACAAAACAGTCGAACAGTAAAACAGAACATAAATTATTGTGGGGTTGTATAAGTTTATGCACCTGACAATCCGGCATGTGAAGAGCAGTGTCGACTTAAACACAAACATAAGTAGTTTGAACTGACTTTATTTTGCCTCAGTTTGCATCTGCAGAAAGCTTTATTCCAGACTTTTTAGAATTATAAATATAATATATAATTATTGTAGGTCTTTGCTAACAGGTTTTATGATTGGCTGCAGGGTGTCCATTAAGTCCTGATGTAGGACACCTATTAAGTAGTTCCAGGTCGAATCTAAGGTTTGTTGTATTTACTGGAGTAGTGAACAGCATTTCCATTGCATGAGAATCTTACAGTTTGGTAAGGGTTTTTCCAGGTATTAGTCAAACCCTCAGGTGTTACCAGAGAAATGGAGTTATAGCTGGTAGAAAACATTAGATTTTGATTGCAAGACGCATGAAAATATAAATGAATGATCTTATTCTTTTTTTTTTTTGGCAAATGACCATGGTATAAACAGGATTATGCCCTTCGAGTTGTCCTTAATCACAAATGATTGGACTCCGCGGAGGCAACTGATACCTAATCGGGCATTATCCCTTACTTACTTGTTCTGTCTCTTTTGTAATCTAGCATGAGCAACTATGTCCATCTACTCCTTGTGGGGTCATTCTGGAATTAATAAAAAGTAAAGGACATCACAGTGGCCTTATATGTTAGCGAGGATCATCCCTGTTGGGCAATGCAGGCAGAGACACTTATGTCAAGAAACTGACCATTAATGGCAAATAGTTGTACAGTTAAGATTTGGTGGGAGAGGCTCTGCTGTTTAAGGTAGCTCGCAAAGAATCTGAGCAGAAACAAGGATTCTCCCGGGAGAACGAATCCCCCTTTAATTAGTCCGGCTCAGAGGAAGTAGGCTGTGGGTATACGCCTGCCATTGACAGGGATTCCCTTCCACTATCTTCAGACACTATTTTGCAAGGGCACCGTCGCTGCATCCTGGGCTTAGCGCCACCCAAGAAGATTGTGATCGGTTAAAAAATATACAAACAAGCCAACGTTATTTTTCCCCTATACCCCTATTCCCCTCAGCTAGACCTCTCTCTCCAAGTGTGGAGATAAAGAGATACATGAACATTACGTCTTAGTAAAGCCAACAATCTTAGCACATACTGTAGAAGGTGGTCGGGGTGGTGTTGACATGAGCACACCAAGTTATAAAAGCTGCTCTGTAAACCTACATGAGTATGATTGGATGTTACTAGTCAGCTGGTAGCCAAACATGTATGAGCCAGTGATGGTGAAGCAATCATCCAGTGCAAAAAGCAATGGTCCTCTCCGCTGGTTTACATCTCTGAATTACAGTGGATCAATTAACCTTCTTTGACCCTGGTCAACAGAAAATTGGTCTTTAATGCCAAAAGCTACCTTAGACAAAGTAACATGCCAAACAATCTTTAGTATATTTAAGTTTATTTATAAGAACAAAACTTGAATATGCTTGGAAGTACAGTAAAAAATTTTGAGTCAATACTGTTTACAGGCACCGATATGTTTCATCCTTCTGTGTGATGTGGATAAAGGTGAGAAACCAGGCGGACTAAGCAGCATCATAGAGTCTTAGAGGTTTGGTCCCTGCAGCAGCAGAAGTGTCATCCTTCAGCAGCCTTCATGTCCAGCCCAATTGTCTCTGAGTGAATCAGCACATCCCCTGCTGTTCATTCTTCGTGGGTCATTCATGATTCGTGACCACACTTCCAAATTCCTCACGTATCATGTTTCTGAGAAATTCAGGCCGCAATTTGCCTTTTCTCATCGCTGATTTTTTTTTTTTGGTCTTTGGAATTCAGGACAGCAAATGCATTGAAGCTTCAGTTAGCATATTGATGTGATGTCTTTAGTTGAAATATCTGCTTTTCTAACTCTAAGTGCAGGTAATTTCAAAAATAAAGGAAACACTTGAATAAATCAGAGAAAATGCAAAATACATGAGAGCAGGACATGTCAGTTTGTTAGCGAGATATCTGAAAACAGTTGGAGAGACCGTTTAGTGCTGCAGAGCCAGTTTTCCAATAGTTGGACAATAGCAGCAATAGCAATACAATAGCAGCACCTTGATTGTTTGATCTGAATGGAATGGAGCCTTAATTAGTATCACTGGTAACACCTGTGTTTACCCCACGCCAAACTGCTTGTGAAAGAGGTCTATATACAAAGTTATACATTCACTCTTGTGGTGGTCTTGTATCGGACTGCATTACATTGAAAGTATTATATAATAAATATAACGTAAAATTAGATGTAGGATTAGTAACATCTAGCCACTAGCCTTCCAAGCTTGTAGGAAAAAACTATGGTGAACCTATCCTTCTGTATATAAAAATGGCTCATATTTAGGTAACAAAAACAACAATTCTTATTTTCAGGTTATTATATACTAATAAAAACATACCTGTGAATATTATATTCAATTTATATATATCCTTCCACCAATAGGTCCTCCTATATCTTAACACGCAAAGCCTTTGTATTTGATTGCATTAGATTGTAACGGTGTACCTAATAAAGTGACCACTGAGCTTATATCCCAAGGACATTAAATGATACACAGTCTATTTCTTGCCCAGCAGTGCTTTTGTAGGATCAAGAGATAAACATGCTTTTTGGTTTCATTGCTCACACAGTGACTACTCAGTGGCTTTGATAGATTACAAGCCTTCATTAAAATCTCAAACATCCTCATTTCAGTTCTTTATAAAGGTTCCTGTGACCCGCTGCTGCTTGTTAAATGTCTACATTTTCCTCCAGTCTGACCGCCGTTACCTCACGTGGCTTCGCGATTGAACACGACCTCATCGAGGCCACGGAGAACTCTGCACCGTTGTTTCCACACTGAGACTTGCGTCCAATTAAGAGAATGTGTGTGTGTTGGGAGGGAGGTAGGAGATACGGTTGCCGTGGCAGCAACCAGATTATAATTGTCCTGGAGTGGCACTAATCCCCCTCCACCCTGGCCAGCTCGTTTTGTTCACTGCAAATCAAGGCGCTTCCAATCTGCCTGAAAGAGCGATTTCACAAATAGAGGGAGGCAGGGAGGAGGGAAGGAGCTAATGAAACAAAAAAAAAACAAAAAAACAACAGTGGATGGTCCTTTCCATCACCTCTTAACACACTCACTGCACAAGAATACAGGCGGGCAGGCACAGACGCTCACGTTTACACAAACACAGACTAGCTTGTTGATTTAAATTGATTTGAGATTCAGATTTGACCCTGTGTCCATTATGAGCTTGAACAACAATTTAACCAGTTTGATAACCTTCAATAAATCATTTTTTCAGCAAAAAGGTAGTAAAGGGCAGGAGGCAGAATAGAGTTTGATATCTGACATTGTAATATTGTGGATGGAACATTTTCCATCAATTGACCCTTCTAAAGTCCTGCCCCTTTTTGTTCTGTACTCCTTTAACAGTTGAGCAAGCCGCGGTCAAAAAACTCAACTTTTTCTATAGTCACATCTCAAGTTAGTTAATGTCAGCAAAACGAACTAAC